TCCTATCCTGTCTTCCATTTATTCTACCCTGTCCCTCCTCAAAAGTTTTTGCTTCTGATTACCCCCTCCTCCAATCTACCCTCCCTTCTACCACCCCCCCGCCCCTTCTCCCCTAATTTCCTTAGGGTAAAATAGATTTCCATACCCAATTGAGTGTGTATGTTATTTCCTCCTTAAGTCAAATCCAACGAGAGTAAGGTTCACTCATTCCCTCTCACCTTCACCCTCTTTCCCTCCATGGTAGAAGCTTTTTCTTCCCTCTTTTATGTGAGATAATCTACCCCATTCTACCTCTCCTTTTCTCCTCCCAGTACATTCCTCTCTCACCCCTTATTTTTTAGATATCATCCCTTCATATTCAATTCACCCTATGCCCTCTATCTATATATGTGTATACATATATGTGTGTGTGTCCATATACATACATAAATATATATATATATATATATATATATATATATATATATATATATATATTCCCTCCAACTACACTAATAATGAGAAAGGTCTCATGAGTTATAAATATCATCTTTCCATGTAGGAATGTAAACAATTCAACTTTAATAAGTCCCTTATGATTTTTCTTTCCTGTTTACCCTTTCATGCTTCTCTTGAGTCTTGCATTTGAAAGTCAATTTTTCTATTTAGCTCTGGCTTCTCAAGAATGCATTAAATTCCTCGACATCACTGGATGTCAAATTTTCCCCCTCATTGATTACAATCAGTTTTGCTGAGTATGTGATTCTTAATTTCAATCCTAGCTCTTTGACCTCCAGAATATCATATTCCAAGCTCTGCAATCCCTTAATATAGAAGCTGCTAAATCTTGTGTTATCCTGATTGTGTTTCTACAACACTTGAATTGTTTCTTTCTGGCTGCTTGCAATATTTTCTCCTTGAGTTGGGAACTCTGGAATTTGTCTATGGTATTAGTGGGAGTTTTCTTTTTGGGATCCAATTCTATTCTGTTTTTTAAGGAATTTTTCTGTTCAGCAAATTTTTGTAAATCTTTTTCCATTTGATCAATGCTGTTTTAAGGCATTCTTCTCTTCATTTTACCTCTTTTACCATTTGGCATATTCTGTTTTTTAAGGTGTTATTTTCTTCAGTACTTTTTTTGTGCCTACTTTACCAAGCAGTTGACTCTTTTTTCATGATTTTCTTGCATTACTCTCATTTCTCTTCCCAATTTTTCCTTTGCCTCTCTTATTTGATTTTTAAAATCCTTTTTGAGCTCTTCCATGGCCTGAGACCAATTCATATTTTCTTAGAGGCTTTGGATGCAGGAATTCTGACTTTGTTGTTTTCTTCTGAGTGTGTGTTTTGATCTTCCTTGTCATCATAGTAACTTTCTATGGTCAGAATTTTTTTCTGTTGTTTGCTCATTTTCCAGCCTATTTCTTGACTTTTAATTCTACACTAAAGTGGGCTCTGCTTCTCAAGTGGAAGGGGCACCATCCCAAACCCTTCAGCTTTTTTGTGTAGCTGTTTCAGGGATAATTCTGGGGACCTGTAAGTTTTTGGCTCTTCTAAGGTGGTATGATCTAGGGAGAGATGTGTTTACTACTCTGTGGTTTGTGGGCGACCACCGGCACTATTTTCAACACAGTCCCTGTTCCCTGCAGCCACAAGTTCTGCTGGGCTAGTGCTCCTCTTCCCACTAGGACTAATATCCAGGACTGTGACCCAGATCCAAGTAAAGGCATTGAAACAGAATTCTGCCCCTGGTGCCAGCAAAGGGACCCCTATGAATCTCCTTCTGACCCCTTACAGTCTGTGGGATGAGAGGTCTAGACACTTCCACTGCTGCCACTGATTCAGCTGCCCCCAAAGCCTACTCCTGGTTTTCCAAGGCCAGGTTTGCTCTGGCATGGTCTGCCCTTCTCTCTCACCCTGGTACAAGAGACCTTTCCTGCCAACTTAGAAGACTCTAGCCTAGTCTCAGGCTAGAAAATTGTTTCACTCCATCTTTTTGTGGGTTCTCCCACTCTAGATTTTGTTTAGTCATTATTTAAAGGTATTTGGAGGGGTTTGGGGGAGAGCTCAGGCGAGTCCCTGCCTTTACTCCACCACGTTGGCTCTGCCTTGAAAGTGAAGTATTTAATTGCCTATTACATACAGGAAGCAAATGTATAAAATGTGGCCCCTCACCTCATGGTGAGACTTACAGATGGGAGGAAAGACCTAAGCAGATGCAAGAAGGATGACCAATCTGATTAAATGCTACAGGTCTTCAGAGAATCAGGGTGGATTAAAATAGGTAAAACTTCATGGAAGAGTGATCACCTGTCCAAAGCTAACCATACTATCTTTTCCCCAAAACCCTCTCCTCTTCTAAACTTATTACCAGCACCGCCATCTCCCAGTCATTTGGTTTCACAACCTAGATATCATCCTTGATCCCTCACTCTCTCATCCCCTACAGCTAACCTGTAGTCAATTCCTTTCAATTCTACCTTTACATCATCTCTCCCTTGATACTACCACTACGGTAATGTAGGTCCTCATCACCTTAACCCAAATTACTGCAATAGACTTCTCTTTGGTATTTCTGTCTCAAAGTCTCTGCCTGCTACAATCTATCCTCTACTTAATTATTAAAGTGATCTTCCTAAAATGCAGGTTTTACCATGTCACACACACCCTCCCCGCAACTCCCTCTAGGTCCTTGGGTGCAGCCTTTTGACTGAGTCCAAGTTTTACAGAACAAATCCCTTTTACTAAGGGGATTTGTTCTGCAAAGTTTGGATTCAGTTAAAGGGCCAAACCTAGTGGGCCACCTGTGGCCTCAAGGCCACAGGTTCCCCACCCCTGTTCTAGATGTTCCCTATTACTTCTAGGATCAAATATAAAATCTTCTGTTTGGCTTTTTAAAAGCCTTTCATAACTTGACCCTTTCCTACCCTTCTAGTGTTATTACACTTTATTTCCCTTCACATACTATAAAATCCAGTGACACTGGCTATCTTGTTTATAATCTTGTTTATAAGAATAGCATATAAGATTTCATTAATGTTTTGCTAACATCTAAAAAATTATATCTATAGCAGATTTACTAGTCTAGGGACAAAATTTTTAAAAGCAAATGGTGTTAGCCTGATATGATGTGTTCTTGAAGCTACACTGGCTCTTAGCGATCATTTATTTCTTTTGAAGATAGTTGGAAACTATCCTTTTAGTAATACATTTTAGAATTTAGAATAATACATTTTAGAATACATTTTAGGAATCAAAGTCAAGCTCATTGGCCTATAGTCTGCAGACTTTATTCTCTTTCTTTTTGGAATTAAAAGATTTCTAATTATCTTCCCTGTTTTAATTAATAGATCCCAACTACTTCAAATTATTCTTAATCTAGAAAAAATCTATTATTAAGATCTGCTAAAACTGTTTATAACTTGGATAAAAACCGATTTTTTCTAATTATTCCAACAATATTAGAACTGAAAGGGAGCTTAGTTACTATCTAGAATCACCTTTTCAGTAAGCATTTAGTGTTACCCCCAATAGAGTGCAAGTGACTTGTGGGCAAATATGGATTCATTTTTGCATTCATATCTTCAGCATCAGCACAATGCCTGGCACAGAGTAGATACTTAATAAATGTTTATTGATTAATTGATTCATCAAGTGGAAGCCCTACTCTCATTACAAACCTCATCTCCATAACATCTGAGGTCCCTGGGCCTCAATTCCTTTATCTATAAAATTAAAAGTTTGGATCAGTTAATGTCTTTAGTTCCTTTTAGCCCTAAATCTAATCATTCAGCTTCCACTTGTAGATTTCCAGTAACTCACCCTGCCTTGGGGTAGCATATTGCATATTTTTTGATAATTATAATTATTAAAAAGTTCTTTATTTTGGGCCCAACTCTGTGAGTTCCATCCAGCAATTGTATTTCTATCCACTGGGGCCCAGGAAAACTAATCTAATTTCATTTTTATAAAGCAGCTACCTGTTTAAATCTTCTCTTTCCAGGATAAACACCTCCAGTTCCTTCAATCAATTCTCGTACATCCTGGTCTCTAGTCCCCTCATCAAGGTGGTCATACCAATCTGAATTCATTCCAGTTCGTGAATGTACTCTACGTGGTATCAAGTATACAGTTTTGCCATAAGCACTGTACAATTATAATGAAAATAAAGTTAGAAATACATTAAGTTCTTGCCTATTTAGATATTTGTATTTTTGGGCACATATTAGGTATACAGCTACTTAAGGGTCTTTCTTAATTCATTAAATGGATATAGAACAAATGAGTGTTTTAACCTAGACTGTACTGTTTTCAATCATTGCATAAAGAGGTAGTGTAGGGTAGTGTGTAGTATAAAAAGCACTAGGTCCAGAATTAGAAGACCTAGGTGGAACCCTGGTTGTTTTATTTATTAGCTGTGTTACCTTGAGTAAATTCACTTATTCTGTTTCTTCTTCTATAAAATAAAAGAGCTGGTTTCAATGATTTCTTCCTACATCCTACATGCACTGAACTTTGAGAAGGGTAACCTAAGTGCATGCACTGAACTTTGAGAAGGGTAACCTAAGTGCTAATTCAAGCCCCATTATTGAGTAACACAACCCTGTACAAGTCACCTAGCTTCCCCAAGGTCTCAACACTGCAAATCTAATTGTTGACACCTTGCTCTGCGTGAAGAATACATCAAAAATACTATAATAACTTAGCACTAAATGTAGCTCCACAGAAGGTCAATAAGGGGCCAAGGCACACAGTGAACTGAACTGTTATGGCACTCAAAATATACAAGGACAATTTACTGTGTTAATTAAAGCAGCAGCAGCAGCAACGGCACAATGTAGTAGGAGAAACTCTGAGCCCTGTGGTCTTGTCATAACTCTGAGTTTCCTTCTCTCTAAAATGGGTATAATACTTGCACTACCTACCTCACAAGGTTATGAAGAAAGTGCTTTATAAACTTAATATTAGTTATTATTGTTAGAGTTTTCTTCAGATCACTCTAACTGGGAAAGTGCTTCACCTACCTTCTTTGATCGGACTGTGAAGAGCAGATAAATTTTTTCTTCTTTAACCAACAAAGGTATTAGGATAGAGTATTTCGTTGATAACCACTGGGAAAACTTGGTTCCAACATCATGCTTTCTTAATCGGACCTTAGCAGTATCCTTGGTCAAATTTTTGCTAAGATAAAAGCAAATTCATGAATTTTAGCACAAGACTCCTCTTAAAAAGTTCTAGTTTGGGGGAAAATCATTTTCCCTCTCTGGGTCTCAGCTTCTTTATCTGTAAAATCTAAGGATGTAAAATATTTAATCTAGCTCTTTTCTAACTCTGACATGTTTGAAGCTTCCTTGAAAGTACACAGAAATGAAAGTAGTATGGGTTCAAAAACAGGTCATACAAGACTAACCTCCATTTATTTGTTTGCTTATTTATTTACTTTGGGGCAGGGTTACTAGTCCCATTCAGAGGAATGCTAAAGATATGGTATACCTGGATTAACAATACAGCATTGAAAGGTCTCTCATAATATACTTGTGAACAAGATAAAATGTGATTGGATTAGATGCCCCATGTCTGAGGCTAGTTTCTTTCAGCCAATATTCTAAATTAGAATTTAGAGGTTCCTACCAAATCTACTCTTTTATGTTCTAAGGTCCTTTCTAGGTCTCATATCCTTTATTTTTAAGGTCCTTTCTAATTCAAAATTGAATGATCAGAGAAAATATCCCAGTGTGGTTTTTTTAATGTTCTAACGGCACTTTAGTTATAAGATTCTAATTCTTGGTGAGGAACAGTTTTTTAGAAATTCAGTAGCTGACAGGTGTTAAAATCTACCTTTACAAACAAAATTAGCTATAGGAGATACCCTGAGCAAAAGAGTTGAACACAGGGCCTTCAACAGTCCCTAATGCATAGAATCATTAATCTGATTAATTGACTGATTAATGTAATTGGGACAGAAACGAAACAAACAAAAAAGGGGGCAGCTACATGGCTCAGTAGATACAGCACCCACCCCGGATTCAGGAAGACCTGAGTTCAAATCTGGCCTCAGACACTTGACACTCACTAGCTGTATGGCCCTGGGCAAGTCATTTAACCCCATTGCCTAGCCCCCCCCCCAAAAAAAAGTAATTTGACAAAATAAATAAAATACAGAACATAGATAATATTAACATGTGGTTTTCTAAGTCAATATGAGGCTCACAGGGATCCTTATCTACCTTTTTTTTTTTTAATTGAGTTACAGACATAGAGTGGCCTAGACAAATAGCAGGAACATTCTCCCTGGATAACTATACTTACTTTCAGTCATTCCCCCTCAGCCATAGTTTCAATTTGCATCTGCATTTGTTGTCTTGGTAGTTGTCCTCACCTCTGATATGTGTCTTTCATATCCTTTTATTGACCATAAATTCTTTTAGCTAAGGTTTTTTTTTAGTGTCTCCCCATAGTGTCTGACCTGCCACTAAGAAAATGATTCAAGAAAATGACAAGGCTGGAAACAGTCTTATAAGAACTGGGCAGGACTTTAGAACCAGAGTGGCAGAGCTGGAAGGGACCTTTGTACTTTCTCTAAAGGGCATACAAAGTAGCATATCTCCAACAGCAGAGGATTTTAACCTGTTTGTGTGAGTCATGGATCCCTTGTCTAATGGGGTCCGGTGAAGCTTGTGAATCCCTTCTCAGCACTGTTTAGAATCATGAAGACCTGTGTTTAAATCCAGGCTCAGACACAACCCCTGTGACACTAAGCAAACCACTTTCTGCTTCTGTTTCTTCATCTGTGAAATGGGGTAATAATAGCATCTCCTTCAAAGGGTTGTTGTGAGGATCAAATGCGATACTTGTAAAGTGCTTAGCTCAGTGCTAGCCACACAGTAGGCACAATATATTATTTTTATTATTATCGTTATTCAGCCTGTTTCCTCATTTGTAAAATGAGCACCCACCTCCTGGAGCTGTTGTTAGGATCAAATGAGATAATTGCACAGCGTTTAGTACAGTGCCTGGCACACAACAGGCGCAACATAAATGCTATTATCATTATTCAGCCTCAGTTTCCCCAAATTAAAAAACATAACAGCACCTCTCTCAGGGGTGTTGTGAGAACTAAGTGAGATAACACATGTAAATCACTTTGTAAACCTTTAGGCGCTATATAAATGCTGGCTATTATTATAAAATACGTAGGGTTACAAAGGAAACCAACTGAAGTTTTCAAAATGTATAAAAAACCAGAAGCAAAAAGTTCACGGGCCCGGGTTCTTAAGTGCTGCCCTACCAGGGGCCTTTAATGTGCCGCAGAATCTGCGTCCAGGCCCGCGGCTCTACCCCCGCTACAGGTCTCGGGGCAGGCGGACCACGTTGGAGGGGGCGGGGCGGGGGCGCGGATCGGGGAGAGAGGGCTCGTACCCCCGTCCTCCTCGGTACCCGTAGTGCGTCACGGCCCGCGGGCCTGCCGTCATCCGGGCGCTACCGCCCGGCTCCCACACGACCCTGACCGGAAGGGAGTGGCAGCCCCCTTGGCGGACCCCTGAGACTCGCCCTCCCAGCTCGGGTCTCACCATTGCCGCTCCATGTGGGCTGCAGCCACCCGCCGCCTCCCTCTGAACACAGTCTGACACACAAGCGCACAAAGATGCCCTTCCCCAAAACGCCCTCCACGTCAGGCTCTTTCCTCCCCGAGGGCCCAACGGCCTGGAGAGCATGCGCACAGGCAAACTGGAGGCCGAGCATGCGCAGAGGGCGCCAGCGCTTGCTCAGGGATTTTAGATAGTCAACGACTTGATGACTCATTCTCCTCACTGGCTCCTCTGCTCCCAACTGTTCCCGTCCCTCACCTTCACAGACAAGATACCCTGTCTCTAAGAACTTGTGGGCCCAGGTCTCAGTACAGCGTTGGAGAGTGGGAGGAGCTAATTGGAATATCCCACCCCACTGACCCTTCTCGGTCTCTCCTTGGCCCTGCCCCGTTTCCCTCTCGCCTTGGTCCTCACTCTCGTGCAAACAGCTCTTTGTCCTGGCTTTCTCACCTCCTTTCAGACCTTGGGATGATTTAGTAAACTCTGCATGACTAATCTTGAGGATCAGAGGGCATGTAGCTAGGCTGGTGGAAGTTGCTTATAAAGCCCTTTCCCCACACTCTTGGTTTAAGTCAAACTGACCTTTTCTCTACTAGCTTACATGTTCCCATCTCCTGCCTGTGCCTTGGCTATGTGCCATGCCTGGAATGCACCCCCTTTACACTTTGGCCTCATCAAATCCCTCACTTTTTTTCAAGACTCAGGTCAAGCATCACCGTACATGATGAATCCTTTCCGGATCTCCCCCGAAGGCTAGGACTCTCAATCGATCAACAAGTATTTTTTAAGCACATGCCAGGCAATGTGCTGAGGATGTAAATGCAATCAATGAAACAATCCTTATCCTCAATGAACTTTCCCTCACCACTTTGTATTTGTTCTCTGTGTTTGAGTGTGTGTGTATAAATAGATAGATGGACAGGTAGACATAAATATACATGTGTCTACCTATCCCCCCGTGTGAGGGGACTTCAACATAAATATTGACTCTCCTTCAAATACTCTATTTTTAGTTCCTCAACCTACTCTCCTTCAATGAGCTACTCCTTCACCCCACCTCAGCACAACACCAAGATGTTCATACCCTGTATCTTGCTATCACCCACAAATGTACCACCTCCACTTACAAGAATTCGCGAATCCTCTTATCCAACCATAATCTTTTGGCTTTTCACTTCTCCATCCGCCTTACCTTACAAAACCTGAGTCTTCATCCTAATTTTAACCTCCAATCCCTTGATCCCTCAATTATCTCCCCTACGCTAACCACTCTTTCCTTCCCATCATGACTCACTGGTGAACCAATTCAACCCTGTTCCTTCCTCTCTTAAATCCCTAGCCCCCTTATCATATCGCTGATTATGCCTAGCTAAGCCTCAGCCTTGGATCACTTCCACCATTCATCACCTTTGTACCTATTCAAATGCTGAATGAAGATGGAAAAAATCATGCAACTGTTCTGACTGGGTCCAAATTCAAATTGCACAACTTTAACTGGGCCTTCACTTCTGATAGGCAATCCTACTATACCTCCCTTATCAATTCACTATCCTACTCCCCACAGCAGCTCTTCCAAACTTTTTCATCCTTCTTCAAACTTCCTATGGCTCCCCTTCCTCCCACTCTCTCAGCTGGAGACCCTTGCCTCATATTTTACAGAAAAAAAATCAGGCCTATTTGTTGTGAACTCCCTCTTCTCCGCTTTTTCATCTCCCTTCACTCAGATGCCTTTTTCTACTTTCTCCTCCATATAATGAAGTGGCTTTACTCCTTACTAAGGCTAATCCTATATCTGTTCAAATCCCATTCCATCACTCTTTCACTTATTTTTTAATTCCCCTTCTCCACTGGCTCCTTTCCTATTCCCTACAAACGTACCCATATTTCCCTATCGTAAAACAACAATGACAACAACAACAAACTCTCACTTGTTCCTTCTATCCCTGCTATCACCCTATTTTTCTTCTGCCTTTTGTATATAAACTCTTTGAAAAGGCCATCTACAATAGGTGCCTCCACTTTCTCTCCTCTCACTCTCTTCATAACTCCTTATAATCTGACTTCTGATCTTATTCCACATTCTCTGAAGTTACTAATGCTCTCCTAGTTGCCAAATACAATGGCCTTTTCTCAATCCTCATTGTCCTTGACCTTCCTGCTGCCTTTGACACTGTTGATCACTCTCTTCTTCTTGATATTCCCTTTTCTCTAGGTTTTCAGGATATCACTCTCTCCTGGTTTTCTTCCTACCTATATGAGTATGCCTTCTCTCTCTCCTTTGCTGGATCCTCCTCCAGATCACACCTTCTCACTATAGGTTCTGCCTCAGGTTCTCTCCTGGGTCTTCTTTTCTCCTCCCTCTATACTACTTTACTTGGCAAACTCATTAGCTTTCATAGATTTAGTTACCATCTTTATGCTGATGATTCTCAAATCTACCTCTCCTGCCCCAATCTATCTCCTGATCTCCAATCTCACATTTCAAATTTCCTTTCAGACATCTCTAATTAGGCATCCAGTAAATATCTTAAACTCAGTATGTCCAAAACAGAACTCAATATCGTCCCCCTAAACCTTCCCCACACATACACACCTTCCCTGTTACTGTAGAGGGTAACATTATCTTCCCAGTCCTTCAAGATTACAGTCTAGGAGTCATCCTGTATTCCTCACTATCTTTCACCCTCATATCTAAGCTGTTGCCAAAGCCTGCCAATTTTGCCTTTGACATCTCTCAAATATGCTCCCTTCTCTCTTCAGACATTGCCATCACTCTAGTGCAGGTGTGCTGGTGAGGCTGCCTGCTTCAAGTGTCTCCCCACTCCAATCCATTCTCCATTCAGCCACTAAAGTGATTTTCCTAAAATGCAGGTCTGATCATGTCAGCTCCCTACTCAATAAACTCAAGTGGCTTCCTATTGCCTCCAGAAGCAAATACAAAATGCTCTGTTTGTCATTGAAAGCCCTTTATAACCTAGCCCGCTCCTACCTTTTCAGTCTTCTTACACCTTACTCCATCCCTCGCCATGTACTCTTTGATCCAGGGACATTGGCATCTTCTCTGGTTTCCAAGCCTGGAAACTACTGACTTCCCTCACTTCCTTTAAGTCACAATTAAAATCCCACCTTCTACAGGAAGTCTTCCACTTAATTCCAATGCTTTACCTCTTTTAATTACAGTTGTCCCTCAACATTCATGGGTTCGGGGCACAGGACCCCTGCAAATGTAAAAAACCAAGAATAACTCTAGATTCCACCTCAATCCTTTATTTTTATTAATTCTGATCCTATTTTTTTAAACACACAAAAAAACCAAATAAAACAACACACTGCATCCATAAAAAAGTTGCAGTTTCAATGGAGAGAAATTAATATCTCGCACACTATGTAGTCTTTGCAGCCACCAATGTAGCTGCAGCAACTGTTTCTCCTTCTCCTATAAAAAGCACAAGATATAGTGATCCGCTAGGTAGTGCAGTGGATAGGGTGCTGGGCCTGGAGTTCAAATTTGACCTCAGACACTTAATAGTTTTGTGACCCTGGTCAAGTCACTTCATTCTGTCTCAGTTTCCTCATCTGTAAAATGAGTTGGAGAAGGAAATGGCAAACCACTCCAGTATCTTTGCCAAGAAAACTCCAAATAGGGTCATAGAGAGTCAGACAACATCTGAAAATGACTGAACAGCAACAATAAAAATAAGATTAGAAGTGAGAAGTTTATCCTGGGAGGTGGCATCTTTTATGGAATTGAAACTAGGCATATCACCTCTTATACAATGTAAGCTCCCTGGAGTGGTAGGTGTTTGATTTTTTTTTTCTTGTGGATAGATTGGTTGATTGCCTAAAGATAGATTTAGGAAATTTTAGGAAGATTTAGGAAAAACCTTCCAAACAATTAAAGCTATCCAAAAGTGGAATGGGCTGCCTCAGAAGGAAGTGAGTTTCCTCTCAATGGGGATCTTTCAGCCAAGGCTGGGTGACCAGTGTGCTCTTCAGTGTGTTATAGAAGGGCTTCCTGCTGAGATAGTTTGGACTGGATGCCTCTAACTAGAGATTCTGAGAACCAGTCTAACCTGCTTCCCCACCATACCTCAGTTTTACAAATGAAGAAGCATGAGTGCAGAGAGAAGAAACTTTCCCAAGTTTGCACAGGGGACCAGTGGCAGAGCTGGAACTGGAACCTGTCAAACAACAAGAATGTATTAAGCACCTCTTACATGCCTGGCATTGTTCTAGGATAGTCTCTGCTCCCAAAGTACTTAGAGTATAGCAGGAATATTACATGCCTCTGGCCAAAACAGAAACAATTGCTATTTATGCTCATTCTGAGCCATCAAAACCCAAACAATGACCAAGTAAGGTTTGGGCTGGAACCTATTCTTGGCCAGTTAGTTAGAGCCAGAGTGATTTGGGTTTAAGGCATGGTCAAGTAGCTCCATTTGAATCCCAATGGGCTATATCATAGAGCAAAAGAACTAATTTAGAATTTATTCTATCATTTAATTCTCAAGTATAAAAAGAAGAAGAGGGCAGCAATGAGGAAATTTAAGCTTTAAGAGCAAAGAGGGAAATTTAGGCTTTTGGAAAAATGTTAGCAATTGGGAGGTAACCAATTGGAGAGATAGTGAGTTCCCCATTACTAGATATCTTCAAGCAGAGACTGGAATGCCACTTGTTGAGTATATAATAGTGAAGATTCGTTTCTCGATGGGATTAAATTAAATGATTACTCAGGTCAGTTTCAGCTCTCAAATTCTATGATAGTCTCTGAGGCCCCTGTTAGCTCTGCTTCTTATGTTGTCACTAATGGGGCCAGGAACCCAGAATACTGGCCGTCAGAATTCTGGGATGTCTATGGACAAGGCCATAGCAAGGCTGTGAAGCAGCTCAGAATTAAAATCATTATTTCAAACCTGTCTAAGTATACTGACTCAGAAGGTAATGCACTTCCTGTTACTGGATGTATTTAAGAAGAAAGATAGGGGTTGGACTAGATTCCCTTTTTAGTCCCTTCCAGCTCTGAGATTCTCTGGCTCTACTTTTCAGGACATGAAGTCATCTAGGGAAATTATCTTTATGA